GACACTGTCTGCAAGCAGGTATATACTGTGTAGTGCAATTCGTGTTTTTAAACCGACTTGTAACAATTGTGCAGTCATATGTTGTTTCTTCTTATCTTAGGAGGTTGAGATTGTCCTTACTGCACACCCCACGCAAATAAACCGCAGAACCTTACAGTACAAACACATTAGAATTGCGGTAATTCTTGTCCAGATTTCACTAAGTTGAAGAGTTCTATAGTTTTCACTTCAAGTTGCCATAAAATTATTGTCTTTGCAGCATCTTTTGGAATACAATGACCGGCCTGATCTTGGGATTGAAGATCGAGATATGTTGATTGAAGATCTGGTAGGTGTTTCTTTACAGTGACTGGTTTAAGAGCGGAGAAATGAAAATGTTAAATTTTTTGTAACCCCTTATAGGTGAGAGAGATCACTTCAATATGGCAGACAGATGAGCTGAGGCGACATAAACCTACCCCAGTTGATGAAGCCCGTGCTGGTAATCTAATGGAAGTTTGAGTTTTACACTTTTGTGTCTATATATTCAGATAATCAATATATTTAATTTTCCAGGCTTAAATATTGTCGAGCAGACACTTTGGAAAGCTGTACCGCATTATCTACGACGTGTTAGCAATGCTTTAAAGAAGGTTTCTTTTCGGTTGATATTTCGGATATTGTGATTGAAATTTTAAGGTATTGTATGATATGCCCTTTTAACATTTTTCAGCATACTGGAAGAAGTCTTCCATTGACATGCACACCAATAAAGTTTGGATCTTGGATGGGCGGTGATCGAGATGGAAATCCAAATGTCACATCCAAGGTAATTTCCCAAATGTAATCAACCCTCAAAGAAGAGTTTTTTATCTGAAAGGTCGGAAGGGCATTTTACCTTTTACATTTCCTTTTTTCAGGTTACAAAAGATGTCTCTCTTTTGTCGAGATGGATGGCAGTTGATCTCTATGTACGGGAAGTTGATAGTTTGAGATTTGAGCTTTCGATGAATCAATGTAGTGATGAGTTATCAAGATTGGCACATGAAATCTTGGAAAAAGGTCTGTTTTGTGAATCCTTTTCTAGTTAAACATTGCTTTGAGGTTGTTCATTGTTGATAGAATTGTAACTTGGAATCTCTGTCAGAAAATGCACCGGAGGATCATAATGACAATTGGAATCAGCATTCGAGTTGGAGTCAGTCGAAGCATCAAGGCCATCACGGTCCACATTTTCCTTCACAGCTCCCTACTGGTGCCGATCTACCCTCTTGTACAGGTGATCGAGGTTCTGCTTTAGATAGTCTACTCGTCTTTACCTTAAAAGTTGTTTTTCGCTAACTTGAAACATATCCACTGGTTCTAGAATGCAATGACGTTGAATCTCACTATCCTCGGATGGATGTTCCTCGTAAAGAACTCAAGCCATTGAATCTCCAGGTGAAGATGTTTGTTTATCGTATTTCGTTACATTGCTATCTGTATTTGCAAGTAATTTACATCGTATCTCTTACAGGATGACCAAGCTACTTCAAAATTGACTCCTTTTGCCCCTGATTCACCGAGAAGTATCCCGAGAGCGAATGCAAATGGCATTGCCTCTGCTGTGAGTCCACGCGCCAGTGCTCAAAGGAAATTCTTTTCTGAATCTCAAATAGGAAAGAGCAACTTCCAGAAGCTGCTAGAACCAAGCTCGTCTCAGAGTCCAGGGATAGCCCCTTACCGGATTGTACTTGGGGACGCAAAAGACAAGGTAGCCCCATCTCCCTTTTCTTTTCGAAATACAAAAAGTTGAATCACTTTATCTCGATTTGGTCTATTATATATGCTATTCCATTACTCGATATAATTGAAGCATGTGCTCCATCTCAACTAAAAACTTAAGCTGATAGTTGGATGGCTCTGATACCAAATTGAAGCATGTGCTCCGTCTCAACTAAAAGCTTAAGCTGATAGTTGGATTGCACATTAATGACTATATGCTCAACAGATATAAGCTTTCCATCTTATTCCCCAGCTCATGAAGACACGGAGGCGACTTGAATTACTGCTCGAGGATCTTCCTTGCGATTATGATCCTTGGGACTATTACGAAACAACAGATCAGCTTCTCGAACCACTACTACTGTGCTATGAATCACTGGTAAATTAAAATCACTAAAATCTTTCCACTGTGATTGTAGTGATGGAGAAGCCCATATTTCGATAACAGTGATAATGCCTATTCTTTGCAGCAATCGTGCGGAGCGGGGGTTCTAGCCGAAGGTAGGCTCGCTGACTTGATCAGGCGAGTTGCTACATTTGGGATGGGATTAATGAAGCTCGACCTTCGTCAGGTAATTAACCGGGTATCGGGCCAAGATTCTTCAGGAGAATATATATATATATATACTTACTCGTTCTATGATGTTTCAGGAATCTGGCAGGCATTCTGAAACACTCGACGCAATCACCACATACCTAGATATGGGTACTTACAGCGAGTGGGATGAAGAGCGTAAACTGGAATTTCTGACTAACGAACTAAAAGGGAAGAGGCCTTTAGTGCCTTTAACCATAGAGGTAAGATCATTTACCGTGGCATTTGTTTCAGTACCTTCTTATTGTTTACTTTTCAAATCGATCTTGAACATTCTATTTCTTGATTGTTTGTTGTTTTGTTTACTTCTAAAGGTTGAATCCGATGTTAAAGAAGTCTTGGACACCTTTAGAGTTGCAGCTGAACTAGGGAGCGACTCGCTCGGAGCTTATGTTATCTCCATGGCCTCAAATGTATGATTATTCTTCTAATTGTAGTCATCAATTTTTTTTTTTTTTTTTTTTTTTTCGAGCTCCTAATGTTTCCGTTGATCGACTCATTTACAGGCTAGTGATGTTCTTGCTGTGGAGCTCTTACAAAAGGACGCACGCTTGGCTGTTGCTGGGGAACTTGGGAAACCATGTCCTGGTGGAACGTATGATCAAATCTCTTCTTTTTGTAGTTCCAATCTCCTTCATGACTGTTATAATCTGGGGGTCAAGGTCACTCAACTGGGCTATAATGCACATGGGCCAAATCACACTAAAAGATTGAATCCAACCAATTAACTAGTCTAACTCATGCCCTTATAAACCTGTTCTATCTTATTTTATCAATGTGGGACTCTTAACAATGACTATAAAGAAAACAAAGATTTATGATCTGATCTGTTCCAGCTCTGTAGTAGACTCGTAGTGTAATCTTCCAATTGTAATGTTTGAAACAGATTGCGGGTGGTTCCATTGTTTGAAACTGTGAAGGACTTGAGAGGAGCTGGTTCGGTGATCAGGAAATTGCTCTCGATTGATTGGTACCGGGAGCACATCATAACGAACCATAATGGGCATCAAGAGGTACGTAACATAATCGTTGAACCTTGACACACTATATTTAGGATTTTGTAGTTGAATTGCTTACCTCGGACTTGGTTGCATAGGTAATGGTTGGCTACTCCGATTCTGGGAAAGATGCTGGCCGTTTTACTGCAGCCTGGGAGCTCTATAAAGCTCAAGAAGACGTTGTAGCCGCTTGTAACGAATATGGAATTAAGGTCACGTTGTTCCATGGACGTGGAGGAAGCATTGGTCGTGGCGGTGGTCCTACCCACCTCGCCATTCAATCCCAGCCTCCCGGTTCTGTTATGGTTAGTTTTTTTTTTTTTTTTTAGTACTACTGATTCTGTTACAATGCAGTATCTGTTCATAACTACTTTCTCAACCTACTGAAACACAAAGAGTTATATCGCCATTGTGAATATTCTTTTATAATTGTTAGGGGACACTTCGTTCGACAGAGCAAGGAGAAATGGTTCAAGCGAAATTTGGACTACCCCAGGTTGCTGTTAGGCAGCTCGAGATCTACACGACAGCAGTACTACTAGCTACCTTGCGCCCACCGCAACCTCCCAGGGAAGAAAAATGGCGAAATCTGATGGAGGAGATGTCGAACATCAGTTGTGACAGTTACCGAAGCACTGTCTACGAAAACCCGGAGTTCCTTGCTTACTTCCACGAAGCCACGCCACAGGCCGAGCTTGGATTTCTCAACATAGGAAGCAGACCGACGAGGAGAAAGAGCTCGGTGGGAATAGGCCATCTTCGAGCAATCCCATGGATATTCGCGTGGACACAGACCCGATTCGTGCTCCCTTCTTGGCTCGGAGTTGGAGCCGGGATGAGAGGCGTCTGCGAGAAAGGCCACACCGAGGATCTTCGGGCAATGTACAAAGACTGGCCTTTCTTTCAGTCCACTGTTGACCTCATAGAAATGGTTTTGGGGAAAGCCGACAGCCCCATTGCGAAGTACTATGATGAAGTGTTGGTGTCCCCGAGCCGGCAAGAACTCGGGGCCGAGCTAAGGAAAGAACTTCTGACGACAGAAAAGTATGTTCTGTTGGTGACAGGACATGAGAAGCTGTCGGAGAACAACCGGAGTCTTAGGAGGTTGATTGAGAGCAGACTTCCTTACCTCAATCCCATGAACATTCTGCAGGTGGAGATACTGAAGAGGCTTCGTCGCGACATCGATAACAACAAACTTCGAGACGCTTTGCTTATCACCATCAATGGGATTGCTGCTGGGATGAGGAATACCGGTTAATTAACTGTCTAAGATCCTATGCCACTGTCTTTGAAAGTGTAGTGAATTGTAAGGTATCCTTTTTGACTTACGTTAACTATTATCATGTTACTGGTTTGTGACTGTCTTGGTATGTATATGTTTTTGATTGTGTTGCTGGTTTCTTTCAATAAATTCATTAGAACCGTTGGGCAAAGGCTTGAAAGGTCAAGTTCAGTATCTTGTTATTGAAAAACGGCATTAACTGATGCACAAGCTACACATTAAAATAAAATAAAATTAAAACAAGCTACACATTAATTTAACACTTATGTAACATAATTATTATCACAGCGTCAAGAAATTAAATTGTATCAAAATATAATTGCATCACGGGCACTTAACAAATACTCCGTAAGTGATAATTAAATATCTTATCCATTATTTGATTACTCTTCATAATGCTTTCGTTCATTGTTAATTTTTGACACAACTTCTGTCAAACATTGCGCATTTTTTCTTCTCCGGGACGGCAGAGAAACATCTTCCATATCTTCTTGCATTGCACAAAGGGTCTCGCTGAACTGCTCCGTAGTCTATTTTTTCTGAAAATTAATATATTTTAGCTAAAATACCATTAACTATCGATATGTTTATAAAAAGAAAAGAATGATTGGAATATATAATATGTTAATAATCATATAATTAAACAACATAATGCATGCAAACAAATATAATTAAACCTTAGACTACCATAATAGAATGATGTTCAATTTTTGTGGTTGTTTAGTTTCGGAATTTAGAAAAAAATTAGACTACCATTCATCTTGAGAAATCAAATTGTAGGATCTTAATTATCATTAACAAACTTTCAGTAATTATAAAATGAATTACATTCTTAGAATTTTTAATAATTATAAAATTGATCTTTTTTTTTTTTTTCACTAAAACCTTTCATAATTGATGAATTTCATCGACATTAGGCTCTCACTATCCCAGCCAAACCCCTCTTTGCAATTCTATGTGGCAAGGTCATGTCACTATTTTCATTTTTTTTAATTGAAAGGGATTTGCAAATTTACAAGATTAGCAAATTTGCAAATCCCTTAAAAAGCTACCACGGTTGCTGCCGCAGCAGTTTTTGTACTTTCTTTTTATTATTTTTTTAATTTTTTTCTTTACTTTTTAATATTTTAATGTATTTAATAATATTATTTTAATATGTTGGGCCCACTTTTGTAAGTTGATTGGATTTGCAGGGATGTAGTGTGAATAGTAGATGATTTGCAAATGGGATGATGTGGAAGTGGGACCCATTTTTGAGAGTGGGAGATGTTTGCAGGGATAAGGACAACCTTAGGCTGTCCCCAACCCTGCAAATATCACATTTGCTTCTTTTTTTTTTTTAACGCCAACTGTATTGCAAACTTGCATTTCTAGCAAGTTTGCAAAGGACAACAATGTCAGCCTTTGTTGTACTTTGGTATTGCAAGGCTGTCGTTGCATTTATCCTTTTCTTTACTTTTTTATTATTTTATTATTATATATATAATATAAAATAAAAGTGGGACCCATTTTTGGAAGTGAGAGAGATTTGCAGGGATGTAATGTGAATAGTAGATGATTTGTAAATGGGATAATGGGGAAGTGGGACCCATTTTTGAGAGGGGGAGATCTTTGCAGAGATAAGGTTAGCCTTTAGTCCTCACTTTTTACAAGAGGAATCTATTCACATTGATCATGCTTTTATATATATATATATATATATATATATATATATATATATATATATATATAACGAAATAGCAAGGCAGTGTACAATACATCACCTCTACGTTGACGACCTCGATTACCATTCGGCGGGGTTTCGCCGAGGTCAGTCGATGGAGCTCCCCGCGATAGATGGGGCGGAGCGCCGATTTTGTCGTCCGGCGTACCTATCAAAATGAAAATAGAAGATTATGTTAATCAAAATTCCGGCGTACCTAAGTACCTAGTATAGGACACAGAAAGAATAATAATGTTACATACCTTGAACAGCTATAATGGGGAATATTAGGAGTAGAGATATGAAGAAGAGTAGTCTGCATATTACATAAACCTGCGCCAACTTCTTAACCATTGTGGCAGCTCGCTGGTGACGACGAGGGAGAGAAACGTAAGTATATATATATAGTGTAATATTGTGAATGCACGCCTAAAGCATAGACCATTTCCAATATAATTAGTATGAGTGACTGTTAAACTCTACATGAATGTGAGACCAAGTCTTATAATTTAATGATTTCTATGCCTTTTTTCAACTTGTTGAAATTAATATGATATATTTTTTGGGAAAATTGCATTTTTGAGAGTCCTTCAATTATACTCTACAGACTTACCAGGACTATGTGGTCTAATGGTATCCGGGTTGGACTTCCATTTGAAAGATTATGACTTCAAGCCTCAGTGGAAGCGTTATTGGTTCTTTGTGTTTCAGTAGGTTGAGAAAGTATATGAACAGATACTACAATGTAAAAATACTCTACAGACTTGATCCTTGAGTTATATACGTAATCATTTTTAACCCTTAAATTATGTGCGAGAAGTGATGATATTATAGTCTCTCACCAATAATAATCCAATATGTCACTTAAATTAATAAGATAAAAACTTGTGTGAGACGGGTCGGGTTAAGATGCCTGTAATATTATTGTACTTATACGCACCAATGTAATACTAATTAGGAATAAAGTGTTTATTAATTATAAAGAAAAATGTAATACTTTTAAATTTGGATTTAAAAGTATTATTACGTTTATCCTCAAAAGTATTATACTTTCCTTTATAAGTGGCAAACACTTACCAACATTACTTATTAGGAAAAATGTAATACTTCTGATAAAAAAGAAATATAATACTTGTACACCAAAATGTAAAAGTATTACAAATTTTCTTATAAGTATCAAACAATTTATTTCTGATTAGTATTACATTTGAGCATATATGTCTGTCATTTGCATGTTAATTCGACCCAACACACGAATAAAGATCCGTGAGACATTCTCACACAAGTGTGACTAAATTAATAAAGTGGTGGATTTGATTCTTCAGGAATTAAACTCTATCACTTTGCATATAACTTTTGAGGTTAAAAATTAAACCACGTGTATTGAATGATAACACGCAGCAGCAAGAAAAGAAATCAAAAAGGCAGTTAGATGACATTAACAGCTAAGGGCATTATTGTATATTCCCTAGAGAGTCTGTTACAACCGTTCTTCCCGCTCTCTTTCTTCGTTTATATTCCTCTGTATGAACTCGGTTATGAATGAAATTCACTTTCCCAAAACTTCTCTCCAGAATCTCTTTTACCTCTCTGTTTAACAATCAATCCCCAACCTTCCTCATGGTATCAGAGCCGCGGCGGTGATCGACGCCGGACAGACTAGCCTTCCGACGACGACTCCAACGCAGACAACACCGCCAATCAATCCACAAACCAGTTCGTTTCCGCAGAGGAGCACGAGCACCATCACGGAGGATATTGAAAATCCTTTATTCCTGAATAACAATGAGAATCCTAATGTTGTTCTAGTCAGCCCCCTCCTCACCGGTAGCGGCAACTACGGGACATGGAGCATCTCCATGCGAGTTGCTCTAGAGGTGAAGAATAAGTGGAACATCGTGAATGAAACTATCTCAGCACCAGATAGATCGCATCCTCAATACGCAGCGTGGAGGAGATGCAACCTCATGATCTGCTCTTGGATAGTCAAATCCGTCCATCCGACGATTGCTCAGAGTATTCTGTACATGGACGAAGCCTCAGAGGTTCGGAACGACCTGAAGAAACGGTTCTCACAACAGGATGCTCAAAGGATCTCATCCTTACAGACTGAAATCTGTGCTTTGAGACAGGGCAGTTTGACAGTAAATGACTATTATACAAAGTGCCGAATTCTCTGGGAGCAGATGAATGATCTGCGATCTCTTCCGATTTGTAGATGTGATCCTCGATGCTCTTGTGCTTTGCTTGACGACATAAAGAAGGAACGAGAAGTGGATCGAGTCATCCGGTTTCTTCAAGGCCTGAACGATGAATATAATTCATTGAAGTCCGGAGTTCTGGTTTTGGATCCACTCCCGGACATGCATAAAGTGTTCGTTATGGCCGAAAAATATGAGAGGCAGCTGAACATTACCAATCTCACTCTGAATAACGTAGAGTTCAATCATGCTAATGCGGTTCAAGCCAATCAGAACACTACAGAAGATGTTGTGGCAGCCGTGAACTATCATAACAGAAGAAATAATGGATCAAGCAGTGGAAACAAAGCCGCAAAGTGCACTTATTGTGGCATGACCGGACACACGGTGGAAAAATGCTATAAAAAGCATGGATATCCACCGGGATGGGTGCAAGGATTCAAATCCAAAGGGAAACAGCAGAATGTGACAGCTACCGTGAGCAATGAAGCTGGATCTTCCACATCTGAGCAGCTTCAGAAGCTGATATCCCTTTTGCAAACACAAATGGGACAAAGCCAATCCCCTACCACAGCAGCAGTCACTCTGGTTCCTAAGCTCAATATGGATTCACCACCTGAAGGCAAGTGTATTACTAATACTCACATTAATTCTATTTCTCTGCATTTGTATACATGGATTTTGGATTCGGGTGCAACTGATCATATAGTTTGCAATATGAAACTATTTGATACATATCATTCTGTTGAAGGAATTATGGTTAATTTGCCTGATGGAAAACAAGTGGCTGTGGAACATATAGGGGACATAAAGTTGAATGATGGCCTGTGGTTGAGAAATGCTTTGCACATTTCTTCTTTCAAGTTTAATATTATATCTGTTAGCAAGTTACTTCAAAATTCACCTTGTGAGCTAACCTTCAACTCTAATCAGTGCCTTTTCCGGGGGGGCCATGGGAAGATCACTGGTTTTGCTAAGGAGGATAATGGACTGTACCTGCTGCTAGAGACTCCAGGAAGTCACATGAATAAATGTAGTCATTTTGCTATGCTTTGTACTGCTGATATTTGGCACCAACGACTTGGCCATTTCCCTGTTAATAAAATACATATGCTTAATGACATTCCTGTTTTTCATACTAAGAGTTTAGCTTGTGATGTTTGTCATTATGCAAAACATAAGAGGTTGTCATTCCCATTAAGCAAAACTATGGCAGAAACTTGCTTTGAGCTAATCCATATTGACATTTGGGGTCCATTTGTGGTTCAATCTTTGGAAGGAGAAAGGTATTTTCTAACTATTGTTGATGATCACTCAAGATACACTTGGATTCATTTGATGAAGAATAAATCTGAAGCGAAGGGGCTGATAAAAGTGTTCCAGAAATTTGCTTACACACAGTTTGGCTTACCTATAAAGATCATTCGCAGGGATAATGGTGTGGAGTTCAAAATGGAAGATTTCTTTGCCTCGAATGGTATAATTCACCAAACCTCATGTGTAAACACACCACAACAGAATGCGGTGGTGGAACGGAAGCATCAACATGTCTTAAGTGTTGCAAGGGCACTTCGTTTTCAGGCCAATCTACCCTTGGAATTCTGGGGGCAGTGTGTTCTTCATGCAGCTCTCCTAATCAACCGCCTTCCCTCACCGGTCATTGGTTGGTCAAGTCCTTACAAAAGGCTATATGGAAAGGATCCCGATCTCACTAATTTGAAAGTTTTCGGATGCTTATGCTATGCTTCGACTCTACCACATTCACGCCACAAGATGGCCACTCGGAGCAGAAAGTGCATATTCATAGGACTGCCTGCTAACATTAAAGGGCACTTGTTGTATGACACGAATGATGGCTCAACTTTCATATCCCGGGATGTGGTTTTTTATGAAACTCAATTTCCTTTTGCAGAAAAGGGATGTCATCCACCTGAGCTTATTTCCTCTCCTCATAGGCCATCATTACCAAATGTGTCTATATCTGAGCATGAAGAATTTTCCTTTCAAAGTCTAGATGATGATCAATCCAGATCAGTAGCTGAGCCAGTGAGCACTAATACTCCTTCGACCACCAATCATTTAGTCGATTACCAATCCAGAATGGTAATTGAGCCTGCAGGTGGTGATAACACTTCACCCGTCAACCACTCAGTTGACATTCATGATTCTACTTCTGATCACAGTGGTGGTATGAACAATTCCTTTACTGGTTCTCCAATACAGCCAAGAAGATCAACCAGACAACGCCAAGTCTCAACCCGATTAGAAGATTACTACTGTGACTCAATCATACAAAACAGGTCCACTCCTCATCCTCTTTCAAAGTTTATATCCTATAACAGTCTTGATATTCCTCACAAAATTTTCTCCATGGCAGTTACTAACATTCATGAGCCAGGATCATATTCTCAAGCTATTAAACACAGCCATTGGAAAGAGGCAATGGACGCAGAAATAGAAGCCCTACAACAGAATAATACATGGGAATTGTGTGATCTTCCTGCTGGAAAAATTCCCATAGGATGTAAGTGGGTGTATAAAACAAAACTCAAAGCGGATGGGACTGTGGAGAGGTATAAAGCACGGTTGGTCGCGAAGAGCTATACGCAGCAGCTTGGGGTAGATTACATCGATACATTCTCCCCAGTGGCAAGAATGATAACCATCCGCACTTTTCTGGGCATAGCAGTTTCTAAGAAATGGCACATTCACCAAATGGATATCAATAACGCCTTCCTTCACGGGGATTTAAGTGAAGAAGTCTATATGGTGCTCCCTCCTGGCTTCCAGAGTTCAAAACCAAACCAAGTATGTCGATTGCTAAGATCGTTATATGGGCTCAAGCAAGCGAGTATACAATGGAATGCAAAATTGTGTACTGCTCTGTCTCACATTGGTTTTAGCCAATCAAAAGCTGATCCTTCTCTGTTTAGTAGAGGAAATAGAAACACTTTCATTGCCCTACTTGTGTACGTTGATGACATCTTAGTAGCAAGTGCCAACATGGATTTAATCGAAGAGCTCAAGCTATTCCTAGACAACACTTTCAAGATCAAAGACCTTGGCCCCTTAGGCTATTTTCTGGGAATAGAAGCAAGAGCATCAACAGATGGCCTAAACATATGCCAACGCAAATATGCATTGGACATTTTGAAAGAAACTGGCTTCCTTGGATGCAAGCCTGCAAGCACCCCCATGGCACAAAATC